GCAGCCTCCACACAGCACAGAAAGTATCATTATAGTAACTTGGCATCATTATAAGGACAAAATTAAGCTTCAAAATATTTGCTTCTAAAAACCATCATTTGGTTCCTCAGAAAGTTAAACAGTTTTACAATACAATCGCGTAATTCCATTCCTAGGAATGTACTCCCCAAAATTGAAAGTAGGAGTTAAACAGTATGCTAGTATTCATAGCAGCATCATTCACAGTAGCCAGAAGGCAGAAACACCTCAGTGTCCATCAGGAATTGAGCCAGTAAACCAAACATGTTACATCCCTGCAATCTACTCTCAGGTAAATGAAATTGCTGGGCCTGGTGCCACACACTCATAATCCTAGCCCTTAGGAGGCTGAGGCAGGAGGACCACAGGACTGATGCCAGCTTGGGTTATAGAATGAGACCCTGTCTCAAAAGACAAACAGCAGAGAATGAAATGGTACATGTATGAACCTGGAAAACAAAAAGTAAAAGAAACTAGGCACAAAAGTTCAGTTCCAGATTTAGCATATATGAGGTACTTAGAATAGTCACGTTCATAGACACAGGGTGAAACAGGTTGCCAGAGGTTGGTAAGTTAGTAAAGATCTCTCACATGCCAGAGATTGTTCAGTTAGTAAAGAGTTTCTGTTTGGGGTGATGATAAAATTCTGAAAATGGATAATGCAATGTTAGTTGTACAATGTTGTGTGAGAACTTTCTGCTACTGAACTATACACTGATAAAAAGGTTCAAAATAGGGGGTTGGGGAGATGGCTCAGTGGTTAAGAACACTGGCTGTTCTTCCAGAAGACCCAAGTTCAAATCCCAGCACCCACATGGCAGCTAACAACTGCCCATAACTCCAGTTCCAGGGCATCCGACAGCCTCTTCTGTCCTTCGTGGGCATTGCATGACACAGGTGCATTTACCTACACACAGGCAATTCACACACACACATAAAATAAAAATAATATTTTAAAAGGTTCAAATAGTAGGTGCAATTACCACCATTTAAAAAAATTATTTATTTTTAGTTCATTTGTATGAGTCTTTTGCCTTCATGCATGTAAATTCACCCGTGTCATGCAGTGCTCACGGAGGTCAGAAGAGGACATCAGAGTCCCTGGAACTGGAGTTTTGGGTGGTTGTTAGCCCCCATGTGGGTACTGGGAACCAAACTTGGGTCTTCTGCTAGAGCAGCCAGTGCTCTTTCTGTTAACATGGTTTTTTAAAAGTGTAGGGCTGGAGGTGGGGTGTGGCTCAGAGGAGTGGGAGAGCACTTGCTGAGCATGCACCAAGGACCAGGTTCAGTCTCCAACACTACCCCCAAGTGTAAGGCAATTGATAAAATAAATATGTCAAGGTATGTATCTATCTTAGAGTATAAATAAGCAAAAGAAATTATTGTACTTGTTTCCAATCTAGTCATTGCAGTTAAAGAAAAGAATATCCCTGTGTACAGGTCATTTTCATCAGAAGGCCAAGAAAAAGTCAACTAATTACAATTTTTGAAGAGTAAATCTTTTTGTTTTGTTTCATTGTTTTGGATTTTCTTTTACAGAATCTAGCTGTGAAGCCCAGGTTGGCCTTGAACTTGAGATCGTCCTTCCTCTTATTTCCTCAGCGCTGGGGTTACAGTACTCACAAGAGTGCATCATCTAAACAGTATATTTTAAAGTGTCTAATGTATGTGCCTAGTCAGGAAAACTGCTCTCTCATGTAGTGGGTTTTGAAAACAATATTCTGTGTGTGCACGTGTTAATAATTTTCTTGCTAAAACAGCATCTCTGATAATTCCACAGAACCATAGGGAGAAAGCTTTGGGTACTGGAAGATTTTGTGGTGCAGTGTATTTAACAACCATGACAACTCCAGAATTGTAAGCAGCCTTGCCTTCTTGCCTGGGATCTGTCGGCACCATTGTGTCGGCACCAAACCCTTCAACATACTGCTTCCTCCAAGCCATGCTAATGGTGGTCTACAAAATTTTTAACAGAATATTTTCAAGTCTTGGTAGTGTCTGTATTAAAAACATCTTTCCCCCTTTCCTTTCAAAAGCTACCATTCTAAATATATAGCAAATTTAAAATAAAAATAAAAATGACAGCGAAATATGGGTCTAAATTGCCTTTCAGCCTCTATGAAACAAAGACTGGTGTGTTGCTGTGGCTCAGGGAGCTGGTGCTGCTTTGTATGATTTCAGAGGTGAATTTCGATGGCCGGAAGATAGATGGATGCCAGATGCAGCTTGACATAGATTCAGGCAGCTGCTCCTAGGCTAGGTTTCATTAGCTGGTAAGTGTGCCAGCAGGAGCAGTGTGCCGGGCCCCACATGCCAAAATGACAGCGAGAACAGTGGAACAATACAATATTCACTAAGAGATTTTAATCTTGGAGATTGAATGTCACCCAATCAGTTTCCAGGTTACAAAAAAACAACTTGTACAAAGCAGTTAAGAGGGCCCCAGCCCTTTGTCTACTGAGGGAAGAAAGTTTTATCTTTTTTTGTTTTTGTCTGTTAGCTTTCAAACAACAACCACAAAAAAAGTGCCTTAAACCCATTTGGGTAGTTGGCAATTAAAAATCACATTAGTCTTCCTAACACACATTCTATCCTAAAAGAAGTGCATTTATTGTCACAGCAAGCAAATATTCCTCAATAAATGGAACCAATGTTTGTTAATCTAAAGTGAAAGTTTTAGATGAACTTCCCTGGCCTCTTCCAGCCTTAAAGCTCCACCCCAGCCCCATCACTCTCTCAGAGCAGTTCTTCTGCAGGAAAAAAAGACTACACAGAAAGAGAAGGCGTATGTGTTTGGGGAGTCATGTGATCTGTGTAGCTAGTGCTTAAAAAAAAAATGAACCAACCACATAATTGTGAACTTTTTTTTAATGTTCCAATAAAAGACTTTTGCTTTAAGTACTTGTGGGGTCATAAATAATTATGAAGCAGATTCCAGGCTCTGCTTGATTTCAGCTCGAGTGCTTTCTTGACTGAGGAGCAGAACCTTTATTTAGTGTATTATTTAAATTTACTAAAGTTATCCTTGTTGTTCTGAACAGAGTGCATGATCTAATCCATCCATGAGCAACTATTTCTTATAGGGTAAATTTTTTTCATTAAAAGTAACACAAAATTAATAATCAGTTGCAACCTGTACATATTTGAAAACGGAACCTATACCGAGCCTCTGCTTTTCTCTTACTCTTAGGAAGCTAATGCATCACTTAGCGTATACTGAGGTGTTACAGGGCGCTTTTCTTCTCCATTTGCAGTGTGCTCTGCTCTTTCAGTAACAATGCAGTTGTGTATGTGCTCAGAGAAGAATAGCTTCCATTGAACTTAAATTTCGTATAATATTTCGCTTAACAGTAATTTTTTTTTTTATCTTTTTGAGACAGGGTCTCCTTGTAGCCCCAGCTGTCCTGGAACTCACTATGTAGACCAGGCTGGCCTCGAACTCACAAAAATCCACTTGCCTCTGCCTTCCAAGTGCTGGAATTAAAGGCGTGTGCCACCACACTCAGCTAGTAATTATTTTTTCGTCTACAAAATGGTTAAAAGATTTGGGAATGACTTTGATTGAGTTACAAACTGTATGTTTAAGAGAACAATTATAATGAGAATTAATAACTATGCATTATGCTTCTTAGCACTCTGGGATTGACTATATCATGTTGCCTACCTGGCCTCTGAAAGTTTAATTTTCTCAGAACAAAGCTCTTGTGACTTTACACCTGGATTAAAGGGAATTATAGGTGATTCGGTTTTACTTCATCTAAATCTCAGATGCTGCTTTATAGCTATCAGTTCCCCTCCTTCTCTTCCTTCCTCCCTGTTCCCCTCCCTTCCTCTGGTAGCCTAGTACAGATAGCCTTACTAGGTGGCCCTAACTATTGAGACCTTTTTTCTTGCCCTGTACATGCTACTCACAAGGTGGCACCTGCAGACCCTTTGGGTAGAGGAGGGGATCGAGGTCATGGAAGTCTTCCACTGAGCACACTTGGCTACAGTGGCCTCACTAGACTTGGATGGCAGTTCTCTATAAAGGCCTGTCTAACCTGTCTCAGCCCTTGAATTTTCATACTCCCAGCCATTTTACTTCAACCTAGGATTTGACCCTTCTCTGCCTTAGAGAGATGTGAGTAGAGCACAAGATTTGGACCCTTTCACGGCAGGGTTGTCCTCTCACTGGGTAAAGTTGTCCCCACTCTTGTCTGGGACAGGCAGAGGGCAGCGGCAGCAGGTATCAAATTCAGTGTAGCACAAGGCTGGAGATTCATTCAATCTTTACATGTTTTAGATGTCTTTATCTTATACAAATATCCTTGGGGAAGTTTAGCATTTATTCTGGTGAGAAAAGTTGGTGTGTGCAAAAAATCATGGAGTTCCTCAGAGAAAAGTGCAAATGAATAAATCCAAGGAACCATTGTGATTTATTACTATCAATTACCGACCAATACAATGTCATTTTAATTGTTATTTTTTGCCATCTTAATTCATTTTTCTACACAGTGAAACTATAAATTAAGCAACCAGTTCTGTTGCATTCTATTAAACTATGCTCTATCTCTTTCCCTAGTTCTCCCATTCCATTTTTTGTTTGTTTTTGTTTTACAGTGCAGGAGATTGAACCCAGGGCCCCATGGGCGTGCTAAGAAAGTGCTCTGCCACTGAGCTGTATCTCTAGCCTTCCCATTCCATTTTAAGGAAACCTGATTTTATTTGAAGTAGCTTTGTGCTAAAGTAAAATGTGGTATCTTGGGCTCCTGTAGCTGAGGAGTCTGTTGTGCTCTGTTCCGGCCTGATGGGGGTAGGTAGAAGTCCCTGTGGAAGGTAGCTTTTTTGAGATATCTGTATGCCTCTGCCTCCTGGGTGCTGGGACTAAAAGTGTGTGCCACCATGCCTGGGGAGGGTATCTTTAAAAAAAAAAAAAGAAAAGAAAAGAAAAGAAAGGTACAGTGCCTTATAAAGGCAATATATTTAACTTTATTCTTACCTAGAAAGTGGATAAAATGCCTATTGGGTAGCAGCTGTTGGAGGACCCTGACGACATGAGGCTGTTGGAGCAGTGCCTTTGAACCATCCTTCAGTCCTGGACCTTACAACCTCAGGCTAATTTGGTGAGAAAACAAAGAGAACTCAAGTCATTTAAGTGGATATTCACCAGTATATCTTTACTCACAACCAAATGTAAGTCCTGATAAACACTTGAACTCCCTCCTTAATCTGTCAGACCAAGAACAAAGGAAATACTGTGTGTGTGTGATTAACATCTGCATAATGGGATCTTCTAAAGAAAGATAGGGGTGTCTATTCTGAGTGGGGCTTAAAGTTCTCTGTATTTTTTGTATATGTTCTGTTTCTTGGTTCACTTGCCAGGCTCCTGCTACTTGTGTTTTAAGGCCATTGAAGAAAGTAGCTTATTTTTCCTAATCTTTATTATGATTTCCTCTTGGAATATAATTAAAGCATAAGGACACAGACAAGATCATTAAGAATTTGGAGTTTAGCTGGATGAGGGATGCATGCCTATGATCCTAGTATGTCGGGGGATAGAAGCAGGTGGATCAGGAATTCAAAGTCATACCCAACATAGTGAGTTCAAGGCCAGCCTGAGCTACTGAGACCTCATCTTAAAAACAAAAAACCCAAACAACAACAAACCAATTCAAAGGCTTGACCCCCTCTTAATTATTTATGAAACAATCTTAAGCTTTGCCCTAGACCTAGTATAATGCACATTCACATAGTGTTAGACAAGAGTAGTATGGTTGTTTTTAGATTGAATTGTGGTGGCAGGGTGCATTATGAACGCTAGGCAGCTGAGAAGATTCATGCGGTAAAAGTGTCTTTTTCCTGTGTTCCAGTCTGGCCTCATGCAATGAGTGCAACTGCATCTCATGTCTCGGGTACTGCGGCATTGTCACAGGCCCTTACGTAAGATCCATTGCAGCACTGTGCTGGCTAGGCATGCCTTGTGGAGATGGGCAGCATTCTTCATCCAACACCAGAGACCACTACCATGTTATAATTGCCAACAAAAGTAGCTGCTGTCATTTATCTTTCTCGGAGGCTGCACTAACCTTCCTTTCATAATACCTCATTTAATCCTTATAGTAACACTAGGCTGTAGGTTTGGGTTCTATTCCCCAGCCTCCACCTCTTTTGAGACATGGTCTTACTATATGACCTAGCCTGTCTTCAAACTCATGATTCTCCAACCTCAGCCTTCTGAGAGTGACAGCATACCCAGCCTCTATGCCCTTTGTGCAGATGAGGAAATTAAGACCAGTGCAGGGTCATAGAACTTGAAACCCTATGTGTCCCGGGAATATTTGACTCCAGAGTCATAATCTTATGCATCGTCAAACATACTGACTATTGGGGCTGGAGAGATGGTTCCGTGGTTAAGAGCACTGGCTGGTCTTACAAAAGACCTGGGTTTGATTTCCAGCACCTATATGGTCGCTAACAACTATCTGTAACTCCAGTTTCAGGGGCTCTGACGCCGTCTTCTGACCTCCACGGGCATTTCATGACATGGGTGCATTTACATACGTGCAGATATAACACTCATACACATAACATAAAAATAAATAAAATATATATTTTTAAAGTACATTGACTATAGCTTACTGAATTACATGTTATTATAAATAATCTCAAAGTTTTCTGCATGGCTTCCCTACAAAAGAACCAAAACATAATGGCATAAATGTGAACAAACTGATAGTAAAGAGTTTCTCTTGACATAGTCCTATCATCAAGGTGATGTCTGACTCCAGGTGCCTTCACATAATCTTTTTTATTTACTGCAGGCATATTACATGCTCTCTCCTCAGGTGGGAGGGTGGGTTGGGGGTGGGGATGGCTGCTTTATGGAGTCACGTGTAGCACACAGTGCATGGTGGGATCAGAGGCGTGAGCAGACATTAGGCAAAGCACCCTCATAGCCTCTCCGACACTTTTTCCCTGAGCTGCCTGGCAGCCTCAGATGAATCATGGCATTTTTAGGCTCTGCATGTGTCACCAGTATATGTGGGCTGAAGTAGCACGAAAGCATAGTAGTAGTCCTCCGGAAGTGCAAATAAAGTAAAACAAAACACTGGGATACCTGCACCTTTTCATATAGCACAACTGTTTGTGAAATCTGTACATTTGGGGCCTTTGGTCTTTAGAGCTAACACTTACTAGCTAAAACCAGTTTACGATTTTCTATTTAAGTGTCTAAGATTCAGTTGTAAAATTTCACCCTAAGCTAAAGCTGTTTATGGAAACTTAGCTGGTGTGTGGGCATACTAAAAAGAAAAAGGCAGGCTATATTTAAAAAAGATATGTTAAAGTTTTTCTGATTCATACTGCTAGATAGGTAGGTAGACAGATCACCACACTTAGTTCCCATCTGGGTTTGTTTTTAGAAAGACGCTTTGGCAAAGAGTCTTCATTAGAAAGTTAACCAAAGTAATATTTGCAATAATATAAATTACCAGTGTGGGCTTTGCTGCCCAGACTGCAGTAGCTTCTCTGAGCCCTAGTTCCCCAAATATAAAGCAGATTCATAGCTGGCTCTTGAAGATGATGCTTTGTAATTTATGCATGCTATGTAATTTTAAAGTGATCATCCAGTTTTGAAGGTGCGGTGTTGCTAGCATGTGCTCCGCAGCCAGCAGATGAACCAGCGGTGCTCTTCACCCATAAAGCTGGCAGTGTCAGCGTGATTCCTGAACAGCACAGGTTTTCTTTTCTTTTCTTTTCTTTTTGTTTTAAAGCTTAACAGCTTCTCACTTGGAAAGTGTTTTCCACTTTTTTTAAAATATTTTTTTATTGCTGGGTGTGGTGGCAGCCTGGTCTACATAGTGAGTTCCAGGACAGCTGGGGCTACAGGGAGACCCTGATGTGTATGAGTGTATTGCCTGCATGTATGTGAGTGCACCTATATCATGCAGAATCAGAAGAGAGCTTCAGATTCCCCTGGAACTGGAGTTAAGGACGATTCGTAACCTCCACGTGGGTGCTGGGAATTGAACCCGGGTTCTCCGCAAGAGCAGTCAGTGCTCTTAACCGCTGACCTATCTCTCCAGCCCAACAATACAGATTTATTGAGTCCTTGCAATGGTGAGGGCTTCCTTCATATAAGCAGAACATGTGTAGGCTTGCAACAACCATAGTTTATAGTGGACCTTCTCATTTATATAGCATCCTTAGTGTTCTATAATAGTCTGCATTATAGATACCAAAAATTTATCTTTTAGGTATGTCGGAATTACATAAAGATGTTGGATAGAAATCTTTCTTTATGTCATTACTATTGTCAGTGTTACCACATTTTTTTCCCACAGGTAGCATCAATCCCTTTTTTCATAAATCAGAATCATTAGAGTGCTGTGATATTCTATTGAAATAAAGGTCCTTTAGGGCAGGACTAGTGAGGGGTGTGGTGCTCTTTGCCCCACTTTAAATCATCCCGAATACGTATATTTAAAAAAATCATAGTGTCAGTGTTTTAGAATCCTCCTTGTAGTTGTTAGCTGTGTTCTTCATTCACTTTATGTACTTGTGTCTTTCTCTCTTTTTAAACCTCCAAATATATTGAAATTATCATTAAATTAAGAGTAATTGGGCACCCAGGGGATCCATATTATGTATGAGGTTTGTACGTGGATTTTTAAAAAATATCTTTTGTTTCTTAAGAGTGTGATTTTGTTTAGCTTGTAAATTCAAGAAACCGATGAACCATTTTATCTACCACTACGATTTGCTGTCTGCCTTGGTTTCCTTTAGTGATCACCAGTAATATAGAAATGCTTTCATATACATTACTTATCTTGATCTCCACATGATCATGAGGGATAGGTGGGACATGTTATTGTGCTTTTCAGGTAAGAAAATTAAGTCATAGTTGAATCTTAACCATAGGTCACAGCTGAATCTCCTAGGGAGATTGCCCATCTATGTGTACCTGGTGCCTATACTTGAATATCCAAATTCCGTGGGTCTGGGCAGGACACAGGAAGGTATATTTTGGGAAAAGTTCCCAAACAATTGTAAAATACATAGCTTTCCCAGACCTTTCTCTGCATTTTCTCCTTGTCTACTCTACTCTCACTGGGAATTGCTGGGCTAAGCTTTTATGACTAGTAGGTGGTTTGCTACGATGCTTTCACCCGCCAGTTACAAAAAACCCAACAAACAGTGGCTTAAGACATAAGAGTCAATGGTCCCATCGTCGTAGGCTGTTGTGATGCTTAGAGTAATGCTCCCTGTGTTACTACACGTGGGGAAACAGACTTCACAGACGTGACTAAGTTACAGTTCTTGAGACCAGAGGTAATATGGATTATCTGGCTGGTTCTGTGTAATCATGAGGGTACTTAACAATAAGGAGGGTAAAAGGCAGAGGAAATGGGTAACAAATAGTGGCTGGAATGGTGTGCTTTGAAGCTATAGGAAGTAACCAGGAGCCCAGGAATGCATGCAGCCCCTAGAAGTCAGAAGACAGGAAAGAGAAGAAATGCAGCCCACCCAACACCTTGATTTTAAACTTCTGGTCTTCAGAGCTTTAAGAGAAGCTATGTGTGTCATAGGATCACCAGACCTTGTATTGAGAATATGTAGCTAGAAGTCAGGATAATGAATATTGCTTTAAGTCTGACCGGGGTGAAAGGTAGTCATTCATTGACTTACAAGGTTCTCCACAACCTGCCCTGTTGCTGCCCTTCTCCCAGTTCCTCCTTTCTTCCCATACTAACCAAACCCAACACCCCATCCACCTCCATCCTCCTACCTACAAGATCTGCTTGTATTTGCTATTCCCACTGCAGCAAAACTCTTCTGCCTGGTATCTGCTAGGCCTGCATCCTCACCTCCTGAAAGTCTTGATTAAAATGTCTTTTCGGCTTTATTCAGTTTTTCTCCCTTTTTTGTTATTGGAATGTTAGATCTTCAGGAACAGGAAGTTTGGATGTTTGTCCACTGCCATGTTCCTGGTGTCCAGAACCGAAGATAGAGTGGGTACTAAGTACATATTTGTTGAATTAATATTTATGCATAGCTCCGATTAATTCAGTGGGACAAATTGACGAAAATTAAATGCTTACCTTACAGGATATGGACATTCAAAAAGGCTCCTTGATAGACAAAACCAAAACCCTGTTTGGCCCAAGATCAAATCAGTTCATCTCCCATCAGGA